TTACAGCCTCAAGGTCTCAATACTGAATTTCATAACTTCAGAAATTGATCATATTATGTCTGATCTCTATTTTTCTTGCATTCTCTCCACCCATTCCCCCAGTCCTGTATCTTGTTTACTTTGTTCTCAGGAGTTAAGACCCAATCTCTTCCTTTCACACTTTAATTTACACCAATTTTACATTTGTTTTTCTCTTTCTCCACCACTAACACTACCTTTATCTTTGGTGCTAGGCCTCTGCTTCTGTCAAAAGTAGAAAAAAAGAACAATTTTCCAACACCTTTCACTTCTGAGGAAGACTCATACAAATTCAAAATATTCAACATGTGTCTCTCTCCACAGATGCTGTCAGACTTGCTGCATTTCTTCTGTATTTTGTGCTTGTTTCAACTTTCCAATATCCGCAGTAATTTGCTTTTACTCATAATTTAATCATTCTGAAAAATCAACGAGGCAAAATGCAATGCACGTTGAGATTGATTTTAAGATTACCAAGAATGCTTTAACTGGTTGATTTACTTCTGCAGTCTTGACTGTTGTACTGCTGGTCGGACTGCAGGATTGGATCAACAGAAATTGCCTCCAAGTAAACATTGCAATGACCAAGGCTACTGTCTTGTGTCTCTGTCACAAACCCCTTTCCCCAACAAAATATTTCTGAAAAATCGTCCAGTGAAAATATATGGGTAGAAATTACAAATAAGAAAGGAAAAATCACTTTGATGGGACTGTACTATCGGCTCCCCCAGTAGTAAGAAGGAAATTGAGAAACAAATATGTAGGGAGATTTCAGATATATGTAAGCATAATAAGGTTGTAATAAGGTTGTAAGGTTGGGAATTTCGTTTTTCTAAACATTGACTGGGGCCACCATAGTGTTAAAGGTTTGGATGGTGAAGAATTTGTCAAATGTGTTCAAGAAAATTTTCTTTATCGATACGTGGACGCTCCTACTAGAAAAGGAGCAAAACTAGACCTTCTTTTGGGCAATAAGGCAGGGTAGGTAGCTGAGGTAAAAGTGGGGGAACACTTTGGTCTAGCGATGATAATTCCATTAGTTTCAAAATGGTTATGGAAAAGAATAAGCCTTCCATAAAAGTTAAAGTTTTTAATTGGAGTAAGGCAAATTTTAATGGTATGAGACAAGAGCTTTTCAACAGTTAATTGGGTTAGACTGTTTGCAAGTAGAAGGGCATCTGACAAGTTGGAGACGTTCTAGAGTGTGATGATGAGAGTTCAGAGGCATTATGTTCCCGTTAGAGTGAAGGGTAAGGCTAGTAAGATTAAGGAATAATAGGTGAATAAAGATATTGAGGTTCTAATCAAGAATACAAGAGAATCTTATTTTATATATAGGGAGCTTGGTTCAATTGGATCTCTTAATCAGTTTAAGAATGTAGGGACAATCTTAAGACAGAAATCAGGAAGGCAAAGAGGGGCATGAGATCATTGGCAGATAAGGTTAAGGATAATCCAAAGAGATTCTACAAATACATTAAGAACAAGAGAGTAACTAGAAAGAGGGTACGGCCTCTTAAAGATCAAGAAGGTTGTCTTTGTGTTGAACCCAGGAGGTGGGAGAGATATTAAATGAATATTTCATGTCAGTTTTTACTGTGGAGAAAGAAATGGAATCTACAGAATGCAGAGAAATAAACTTTGATGTTTTAAAAATAGTTCACAGAACAGAAGATGAAGTTTGGGAGGTCTTAGAGAATGTAAAGGTGGATAAATCTCTGGGACCTGATCTAATGTATCCCAGAATGCTGTGGGAATTAAGGGAGCAAATGGTGAAACCTCTAGCAGAAATATTTGCACCATCTATAACTACGGGTGAGGTGCCTGACGACTGGATGGTAGCTAATGTTGTACCTTTGTTTAAGAAAGGCTGCAAGGAGAAACCAGGGAACTATAGACCTGCGAGTCTGACTTTGGTTGTTGGTAAATTGTTGGAGCTGAGTATAAAAAATTGGATTTATGGACATTTAGAGAGGCAAAAATTGATTAGGGAATAGTCAGCATGGTTTTGTACAAGGAAAATCCTGTCTCACAAACTTGATTGAGTTTTTTGAGGAAGTTACCAAAACAATTGATGATGGCAGAACAGTAGATGTTGTCTTTTTGGATTTCAGTGAAGCCTTTGACAAGGTTCCGCATAGTAGACTAATCAGTAAAGTTGGATCACATGGGATTCAGGGTGAGCTTGCTAATTGGATACATAATTGTCTTAACAGCAGGAGACAGAGTAATGGTGGAGGGTTGCTTTTCGGACTAGAGGTCTGTCACCAGCAGTGTTCCACAGGGATCCGTTCTGGGTCCTCTTGTTTGTCATTTATATAAATGATGTGGATGAGAACATAGAAGGCATAGTTAGTAAGTTTGCGGGAAACACCAAAATTGGTGTCATAGTAGACAGTGAAGAAGGTTTTCTCAGACTACAAAGGGATCTTGATCAAATGGGTCAGTGGGCTGAAAAATGGCAGATGGAGTTCAATCTGGATAAATGTGAGGTATTGCATTTTGGTACAACAAACAAGGATAAGGCTTATACAATTCATGGTAGGGGCTGGTGTAATGTTGTAGAAGGACCTAGGGTTGCAGGTACATAATTCTTTGAAGTTTATGTCAAACATAGACAGGGTGGTTAAAAAGGCGTTTGGCACACTCACCTTCATTGCTCAGTCCTTTGCATATAGGGATTGGGAAGTCACACGGAGGTTGTACAGGACATTGATGAGGCCTGTTCTGGAATACTGTGTCCAGTTCTGGCCGCCCAATTATAGGAAGGATATTATCAAGCTGGAGAGGGTTCAGAAGAGATTTACAATGATGTTGCCAGGTATGGAAGGTTTGAGTTATAAAGAAAGGCTGGATAGGCTAATACTTTTTCCAATGGAGCATAGGAGGTTGAGAGGTGACCTGATAGAAGTTTATGAAATAATGAGAGGTATAAATAGAGTTAATGGTAGTTGTCTTTTCCCTAGGATAGCGGTGTTTCAAGACTGGGGGCATACTTTTAAGGTGAGAGAAGAAAGATTTAAAATAGACATATGAGGAAAATCTTTTTTACACATCAGGGTGATTCACGTGTGGAATGAACTTCCTGAGAAAGTGGTGGATGTGGGTACAATTACAATGTTTAAAAGACAATTGGATAGGCACAAGAACAGGAAAGGTTTGGAGGGATATGGGCCAGGAGCAGGCAGGTGGGACTAGTTTAGTTTGGGATTATGTTCGGCGTGGATTGGTTGGACTGGTTAGCTGTATGACTCTATAACTGTTTGATTTAGCCTTTAAGTCTGTAACTATGGCATCCAATTTGATGATGATTTGAGCTTCTGATTCCACATCTTCTCCATCACCATGACTGCCTGCTTCCACTTCCATAACACAGTGCATATCTGTCACAACTTCAGCCCATCTGCCATTGAAAACCTTGCCTGTGCCTTTGTTACTTCGAGATCAGTCAGTGCTCTCCTGGTTGACCTCCCACCATTTACCCTTGACATTCTTGAAATCAATCAAATCTCTGCTGCTCGTATCCTAATGCATGTCAAGTCTTGTTCGCCTAGCGAACATGGTCTCACAGAGCTAGAGTGATTCACAATCCAGCAATGTCTCAATTTTAAAATTTGTATTCTTAAGTTCAAATTCTAACACTGCTCCCCCCAACCCCATCCATTCTATATCTGCACCTTCACATAGATTAAAAATCCCCACAGATCTCTACACTCTTCCAGTTCTGGCCTCTTGTCCCATTTTCAACCCCACCATTAACAGCAGTGGCTTCAGCTCTGAAATTCACTCCCTAAACCTCTTTTGCTCGTTATCCTTCTTTACTCCAGTAAATTGCTCCTTACAGAACACTCGACGAGTCATACAGCAATACAGCATCCTTCAGTCCAACCAATCCATGCCGAATAAACTAAACTAGTCCCACCTGCCTTCAACCAAGCTTTTATGCAATCCTGTTTCTTTATGTGGCTCAGTGATAAATTTTGACCAGTCACATTCTTGTGAAGTTCCTTGTGATGTTCCACCATATTAAATGCACGAGACAAATGCAAGTTGTTGTCAGTTAAAGAATTATGTTGTTTTAAGTTAATATACCAGTGAAGCATATTTAGCTGTAATGGGTGAACATGAGGCATTTTTTACAACTGTGGAAGTGAACAAACACAAAAGTATTCTAGATAACATTTCTCCATCTACTACCATCATGGAAATGTTAATCTCCTTAAAATATTTTAATGCCGTTGCTAAGTAAACAGAGGAAATGCTGAACAAAAGAACTATGAATTTACTCTTGGTGTGCGAACAGTTGATTACTAAATCACTTATGGTGACAAGAGAAAATAGTGAGAAGCTAGGAACTGTGGAGAAGCTGCATGTTCAAGGAATTGAAAGTTTGCCAGGTGTTAAGATCTGAAGTTGCGTTCTTTTGTATAAATCCAGCACCAAGAGCCTTTCTGCAGTTTGCATCAGTGAAATTTGATCAAGTTAGAAAATACAAAACCGAAAAAACTGCAGATGCTGTAAATCAGTAACAAAAACAGAAATTGCTGGAAAAGCTCTCTGATTTCTCTCCACAAATGCCACCAGACCTGCTGAGCTTTTCCAGCTATTTCTGTTTTTGTTAGAAGAGACAGAACCCACCGAAAGGATACATTTTGTTTAATTGGAGTTGCTTTGCTTGGTGCCTAACAAGTAACCCAGAAATACTATGGCAACGTATTTCTAGTTTCCTCTCTCAAGGCACTGTGGCAGAGAACAGGAGGCATTTGGAAGTCAGATTTTATTGAATTCTTAATTTTTACAAACACTCAATCATTTCATAACTAATTTAAAATATGAACAGGATTGCTATGAACAAAACACTTTGGATTTGCTAATCAAGCACAATGAGAACATTACAGTTCCTCACAGCTTTTAGCTGTCCTGTCATAGATAATTATTCTTATGTTGGCTGTACTGAACAAAGACTTACAACGTCTACTCACCTGGGGAGTTGTTGGCTCCAGGTCCTTGATAAGATTATAGGCCTCCTGTACATCATCTGTAAGAATTTATGAGTATTAGCAAATAAGGTAGCTACAGATAAAGAGAAAAAGCAAAAGGTGGAATAAAAACAACCACAACACCTGGTCAATTCATAGATAGGCCTTACTTTGAAATATATCTGGCCCCTGTCGACCACTGATGAAGTAAGACACCAAGAGTTACATGGAACATTTGGCCTTACACAACAGCTGATTTTAACATAAAGTTAGGAAGGAGTAAAGTATTATCAGGACCGAGATCTTGATCAGGAACTGTGCTGCTGAAAACATTTCAGAAGACAGCTCTGTCAAAAGGACATGGGGCAAGGATTGTCTATTTACTAGTAGCAGTTAAACATGGAGCAGTTCATGTTTTGTCATATTCCTTCATAATTTCACTCACCAACTGTTGATTGGCACAACTGCCATTTTTAGGTGACAATGGACCAAACACATTGTATTAACAATGCCAGGAATGGACAGTTTAGGGACAGAGGCAGGGATATAACAACAACTCTCTATATCACAAAAATTGGCTCCATGAATGTTTAAAAAAGAAATCAAGTCTGAACTCATTTGGGGTCACAATCGAAAATGCCAAGGAAACTTTGGGAATTGCAGCTGCAAATTTTATTGCAGCTCAAGTACTTGGATTTTTTACATCTTGAGAAGGGGGTGTTCTGCAATTATTGCCTCTTCCAGGATAATGGTGGTGTTGATCCATCACAAAAGAAAGAAAAGCCTCTCAAGGGGATTCTGCCAACAGCAAAAACTTGCATCGATATAGTACCTTCAACATAATTAAGTGTTAACAGAAATGATGAACAAATAAAATTTGACACCAAGCCACATCAGGAGAAAATAAAACAGCCAGTCAAAATGTGTCAAAGACATAGACTTTAAAGAACCTCTGAAAGGAGGAGAAGGAACTAATAAATGGAGACAATTAGTGAGGGAATTCCAGGACAGTTGAATATACCACTATTAATGGAGTAATGAATAAATCAGGGTTGCTCAAGAGGCCAGAGTGGAGGAGATATATAGGAAGATTTCTAGAGCTTGAAGAGGTTACAGAGAAAGGAAGGGCAAGGCTGCAGAGAGATGCGAAAACAAGGATGAGAATTTTAAAACGGAGACTTTGCTGAACCAGGAACCAAGGTATGCCAGAGAGCTCAGGAATAACAGATAAATAGGGCTTGATGAGAACCTAAGAAATAGGAGCAAGGGTAGGCCATTCAACCCCTAAAGCATGTCCTGCCATTCAACAAGATCATTGCTGAAATGCCCTAGGCCTCAGTTATTCTTTCACGCTTGTTTAGCTTAGCTGTTAACTCCAATATTTCAAAAATCTATCTGGCTTCTCTTTAAATACTTTCAGTGATCTAGCCTCCACAACTCCCTGGAGTGGAGAATTCCAGACATTCATTATCCTTTGTGAGAAGAAATTCCTTCACATCTCAGTTTTAAGTGATTGTCCCGTTATTCTGTAACTATCTGCCCTGGCTCGAGATCCCCCAGAAACATCTTCACAACATCTACCCTGTCAAGCCCCCTCAGAATTTTGTATATTTCCGTAAGGTCACCCTTCAATCTTCTAAATTCTAATGAATAAAGGCCAAACCTGTTTAGCTGCTCTTGATAAATCAACACTTTCATCCCAGAAATCAACCTAGTGAATCTCTTTTGAACAGCCTCCATTCCCAGTATATCTTTTTTTTAAATACAGGGATCAAAACTGTACACAGTACTCCAGACACAGCCTCATCCTGTACGTTTGTAACAAGACAACCCCCGTTTTTAAATTTCAAACTTTGAGCAATAAAAGGCCAAAATTCTCTATCCTTCTTGTTTAGTAGGTTACGAGGAACAGAGTTCTGTATGAGTTCAAATTTATAGAAAGTGGAAGCTAGGCCGCTGGCTGGAGAACGATGGAATAGAGAAGTCTAGAGGTATCAAAGGCATGGATGTGGGTTCCAGCAGTAGGCAGATTGAGGCAGGAATGGACAGTGATAGAGAGGAAGAAGTAGATTGCTGTGGTGATGGAGGACGAGAGGCTGGAATGTACCCAAGTTCAAACATAACAGTAAAAGAAAATGCCTGCAAAGAGGCTTATGGATTGGTGAGGAGATGAAAGGAAATAAAGGGAATATGAATGTAGGACTTCAGAGCAGAAGTTGCCTGCTGTGCCATTTGATAAGATTGTGGATGATCTGATTACGGTTTTAATTTCACTTTCATGACTGCCTTTCATAACCATCAACTTCCTTGATGGTTTTCTGAGGAAGAGAATTCTACAGATCAATGTTTTTCTTCTTCTCCACCTTAGAATGGTCACCTCTTTTTTTCAACTGTGTCCCTTAATTCTAGTCTCTCCCAAAAAGGAAACAGGAACCAGTATGTACCATATACAAGGTCCTCAGAGGATTTCATATTTCAGCAAAATCATTTCTTATTCTTCTAACTCCATCGGGGGTCCAACATAAGCTAAGCCTTTCATCCAAATAATGAGACAACTGAACATTCTCTGGACTGCTTTGAATACAATTATACCCTTTAACAAACAAAGGGACCAAAATTATGCACAGGACTCTGTGGTCTCAACAACGCCTCGTACAGCTGCAGTTAAAAAAGTGTTTTTCTTTTAAGACTACCTTCCCTTGCATTAAGCAAAAACGTTCCATTTGCCTTCCTAAAAGGCAAATGCTGCACAGCAACTGTATACTGTTCTTTTATTACTCAAATACAAGGGCAACTAGATCCCTTTGTAATACAGAATTTTGCAATCTCAATTTTTCTTGTCCAAGTGGACAAGTTCACACTATCCCACATTATACACTATCTAACAAATTTCTGCACACTCAACTTATTTGTAACCCTTTGCAAGACTTAGTTACCACACATTGAGCTTCTTCATTCAAGTCATTGACATAGCTCATATATAGTTGAGGTCCCAACACGGATTCCTGTGGCATTGCACGAGTTTTTGCATGCCAACCTGAAAAAGACCCTTTTTTCTGGTACCTAACTACTTCTTTGTCCATGCTAATATGTTACCACCACACCGTGAATCATACTCAAAAGAATGAAAGTTAAGGCATGCAAAAAAGAGTAGATAGGATCACTGAAATCTCAGTTAAAAAATCGAGGGTTGGATGGACAAGTTGACACAAGAATTTAGACCTACAGCAGTGACAGTGTTTGCTATCTACCTAGTGGAGCACAGTACTTACCTTGCCGGAGGTAATAGATAACGAGGTTGAGCCTGGCCTCAGGGATGACATCAATAAGTGGTGGGAGGACCTGCAGAGCGCCATCTCCACCACGGAACACCACCTGAAGTAGTGAGAAGCGGGAGAGAAAATGCAGATACATGATATTTAAGACAGCTGTTACACCAGAATTACAGCACATTCTCAGAGCAGGCCTTTAATCTCATCTTATTTAGCATAGTCACATATAGATTTATAATCTAGAAGTACCAGATCTACTACTTTTGAAACAACAAGAGATATCAGGTGCATAGCTTCATCCATATGGTGGACCATGGCAAATTAGAGGTCAGGACATTAACTTCTTATAACTTTATATCATTTTTCTTACCACCCATCTTAGTTTAGGACTTACAAGGGGGAAGTAACACTTGCATCATACAGAAGCCAGATAACGATAATCTCCAACAAGAGTGAATCTAACCATCACCCTTTGACATTCAATAGCATCATCACTGAATTCCTCACTATCAACAATCAGGGATTACCAATTACCAGAAACTAAACTGGACTAGTTACAAGAGCAGGTCACAGACAAGGAATCTTGCAACAATTATCTCACCTCCTGACTCCGAAATTCATAACTTCCTGGGATGGCAGGATTGATGTAGGAGGAGAGATTGAATCGGTTAGGATTATATTTGCTGGAGTTTAGAAGAATGAGGGAGGATCTCAGAAATCTACAAAATTCTAACAGGTCTAAATAAGACAGATGCAGGAAGTACATTCCTGATGGCGGGAAATCCAGAACCAGGGTCATCGTCTAAAGATACAGGGTAAAGTATTTAAGACTGAGAAGAGGAGAAATTTCTTCACTGAGATTGGAGAACCTATGGAATTCCCTTCCACAGAAAGCAGTTGAGGCCAAGAAGTGATTGCAAGAAGGATTTGGATATAGCACTTTGGGCTAAAGGGATCAAAGGATATGGGGGAAAAACAGGAACAGGCCTCTGATTTGGACAATCAGCCACGGTCATGATTAATGGTGGAGCATGCTCGAAGGGCGAATTGGCCTGCTCCTACTCATATTTTGTATGTTCTCAAGGCACAAAAAGAACAATCCCCAATTGGCCTGGGTGAGTGTAGCTTCAACAACACTCAAGAAGCTTGCCATCCTATGCAGGACAAAGTAGCCCACTTAACTGACAATGACATCCACAAACATTCACTCTCCCTATCACCAGCACTCAGCAGCAGCTGTGTGTATTAGATGTACTGTAGAAATGTTAACAAGGCTGTTTATTCAGTACTTTCAGTACAGCCATCACTATCTAGAAAGACAAAAGCAAGTTTCCTCTGAGACAGTCACCATCCAAACTTAGAAATATATCACCATTCCTTCAGTATCGCTAGGTCAAAATCCTGAAACTCTCTCCCTAATGCCAGTGTGGGTATCCACACCTAACACATAGCAGTTTAAGATGACAGGTCACCACCATCTTCTCAAGGGAAACTAAGGATAGACAATAAATGCTGGTCCTGTTAGCGATGCCTGCATTCTGTGAATGATATTTTTAATAAAACTCACTAATAAAAGTGGCAGATTTCAGAGGCAATAAATATATCCATGATTCTAAGGTTTTGGAGTAGATCTGTAGCTCGGGTTGTGGGTGTTGAGGTTGGTTGGCTCGCCAAGCTGGTTTGTTGTTTTGCGAAACGTCTGCAAAACAACAAACCAGCTTGGCGAGCCAACCACCCTCAATATCCATGATTATAACATTTCAAAGCAGCCACACATGTCAAGCTACAGCCTATAGAAATATGAATAAAAGTTTCAGCTGTGTACAGAACACTGTTGCATCCACAATCATATTATCGGAAACATTCGGGACACCTGGCCTAGAAAAGGACAATTAAACATTGACGGATTCAAAATAGACTGACAAACAATACTCTAAAATTTACAGTTTGACCAGTTGGGAAGAGACAGCATAGTGATTAACAGTTTAATTGCAGAAAAAAGAAAATGATGCGGGGATGCAATCTATTTCTTTAAATACAGAGATGAAAAGGCACCACTATAGAGTCATATAGTTCGGTCCAACTCGTCCATGCCAACCAGATAACCTAAATTAATCTAGTCCCAATCACCAGCACTTGGCCCATATTCCTCTAAATCTTTCTATTCATCCACCCACCCAAAGGCCTTTTAAATGTTGTAATCGTACCAGCCTCCACCACTTCTTCTGGCAGCTCAATCCACACATGCACCACCCTCTGCATGAAAAAGTTGCCCCTTAGGTCCCTTTTATGTCTCTCCCTTCTTACCTTCACCTCTAGCTTTGGACTCCCACATCCCAGGGGATAAGATCTTGCCCATCTACCCTATCCATGCCCCTCATGATTTTATAAACCTCTATAAAGGTCACCCTCAGCCTCTGGGACTCCTGGGAAAATAGCCCCAGCCTATTCAGCCTCTCCCTATAGCTCAAACCCTCCAACCCTGGCAACATCCTCGTAAATCTTTTCTGAACCCTTTCAAGTTTCACAACATCCTTCCTGTAGCAGGGAGACCACAATTGCACGCAATACTCCAAAAGTGGCCGAATCAGTGCCCTGTACAGCCGCTAAATAACCTCCCAACTCCTATACTCAATGCACTGACCAATAAAGGCGAGCATACCAAATGCCTTCTTCACTATCCTATCTACCTGCGACTCCACTTTCAAGGAACTATGAACTTGCACTCCAAGGACTCTTTGTTCAGCAACACTCCCCAGGACCTTACCATTAAGTGTATAAGCCCTGCCTTGACTTGCCTTTCCAAAATGCAGCACCTCTAAATTAAACTCTGTCTGCCACTCCTTGGCCCATTGGCACATCTGATCAAGATTCCATTGTACTCTGAGGTAATCTTCTTCGCTAACATAAGACTACCAACTTAGACGGTGAGCACAGATCTAGGAATCATGAGATGAAGGAGTAGAAGATTTTGTTTTCTTCCAGCAAAAAGACCTGTAAAATGTGCTGATGCACAAATATTTAGTGGGATTGGATCCGGAGGCTAAGCAATCTCCCAATATTACATACAACATACAAATTAGGAGTGGGACTAGGCCATTTAGCTGCTTGACCCTGACCCACTATTTGATAAGATCACAACTGATTTAGTTATGGACTTTTCACTTTCCTCTCAAACCCCTAAACCCAAGGACTTCTTTAGCAATCAATAAACGAACTCAGCCTTTAAAATATTCAATGACTCTGCCTCTATGTTCTTTATGGAAGATTTTAGGCTGATGAAAATCTATTTAACTTTTCTATAAATATTATATAGACAAAGAATACGTTAATAATATTTTTGATATATCATGTATCCCAGAAGATTGACATGTGCCCGACAGACACTAATACATGAGTTGCATACACGATGCCAATTAAATGTTTCTAGTTGACCTTAAATACATTTTCAGGTCAGCAAGGGATACAAGTAAGTAAAGGGTGTCATTGATTCATTTTTTGGATTACTTTCTTTATATTACCTTTCGATTATAAAGTTAGTCACTGTTAAAAGGACAGTGGGAATTGATACTTATTGCACAGACATAATCTTTAATAAGAGGCTCAGCAGCGACAAATAAATTCAGAGGTTAAAAGCAGGGTGGTTAAGAAGGCATTTGGCACGCTTGCCTTCATTACTCACACCGTTACGTATACTAGTTGGGACATCACGTTGAGGTTGTACAGGATGTTGGTGAGACCACTTTTGGAGTACTGTATACAATTCTGGTCATCCTGCTATAATATTAAATTGGAGAGGGTGCAGAAAAGATTTACAAGGATATTTCCGGAACTGGAGGTTAGAGTTAAAAGGAGAGGCTGGACAGGCTGGGACTTTTTCCATTAGAGCATAGGAGTTTGACCTTATCAAGGTTAATATGGTCATGAGGGGCAGAGATAAGGTGAATAGCAAAGTCTTTTCCCTAGGTTCTGAGGAAGGGTCACCAGAGCCGAAATGTTAACTCTGTTTTTTTCCTTCACAGATGCTGTCAGGCCTGCTGAGCTTTTCCACCAACATTGTTTTCGTTCTTTTCCCAAGGATAGGGGACTTCAAAATTAAAGGGCATATTTTTAAGGTGAGAGGAGAAAAATTTAATTGGGACCTGAAGGGGGACCTTTATCACACAGAGGGTGGAATGAACTGCCAGAGGAAGTGGTAGATGCAGGTACAGTTACAACACTTAGAAGACATTTAGACACGTACATGAATAGGAAAGGTTGAGAGGGAGATGTGCCAAATGCAGGCAAGTGGGAGTAGTTTAGTTTGGGAAACTTGGTCGGCATGGACGGGTTGGAACGAAGGATCTGTCTCCGTGCTGACTCCATGACTGAGTTTATGTTGGGGTCTTCCAGTTTCTATCTTTCACTATTGCAAAGAAACATAATCTTTATGTCTGATGAATAACTTTCCAGGACATGCTTTGGTAATCAATTCAAGAAGTTAGAATTTTGATCGATTCTTAAAATGCCTATACTGGATGTACCAACTTCACAAAGGATACATTGCAGAAAGGGGTGTGGAAAACTGATACATATTATATACATGCACCTTTGCTGAAATAACTGACTTCAACTGAATGATTTCAGAAATAATAGTGTGGCAATTACAATGTATAGAAAGCTGTATTTGCAATAGGTCATCAGGGAACAGGTAAAGGAACAAGGTAAGCCGATGAAACTTGTGAATTCTCACACAGCAAGGTTGAGAAAAAGGAAAAAGAGAAGAGGTGTCAGGAGAGAAATCAGAGAACTTGATTAGCCTTGAAAATCTTCGAGCTCAAACTTATCATCAGTGAACGCAAGTATTGTTACACATGCCTATTAAACTATTGTCACCAATAGCCACCTGCTGCATTGCGATGAGTGCCAATAAGTGGTTTGCATTACTGTTTTGAAGAATCGTTTGTCAACTTCAAGGTAAGAATACCTAGAATTAGAACCGAGAATAAGGAGTAGGCCATTAAGTCTGCTCTGCTGTTACATAGAACGTAGAACAATATAGCCCTTCGGGCCACTGTGTCTGTGTTGACCATGATATTATTCTAAAACTAATCTCATCTGCCTGCACATGGTCCACATCTTTCTATTCTCTGCCTGTTCATATGTCTGTCTAAATGCCTCTTGAACTTCATCAAGGACATTTCATGGCCCCTTCTGGACCTCTGAATTTCCTTTTTTTTTTGAGTATTCTTCTGCTTCCTTTATACTTCTCAAGAGCCTTGTTTGATTTCTGTTTCCTAAACCTTACATATGCTTCCTTCTTCTTTTTAAAGAAACTTAAAACATCTCTCATTATCCCAGGTTCCCAAACCTTGCCATCGTTATCTTTCATCCTCATGGCAACATGCTCATCCTGAACTTTGGTGGATTCACCTTCAAACAGCTGCACCTAATCCAATTTTTCCAGTTCCTTCTAATTCTGTTGTAATCAGTCTTCCCCCAATTTAGCACTTTCACCTGAGGATCAGTCTTATCTTTTACCATAACTATCTTAAAATTTACTGAATTATGATCACTGTTCCCAAAATACTCCCCCACTGAAACTTTGATCACCTGGCCAGGCTCATCCCAATACAAGGTTTAAAATGGCCCCTTCCCTAGTTGGACTATCTACACGATGTTTCAAGAATCCTTCCTGGATACACCGAACAAATATTGCTTCATCTAAGCCCCTGGCACTCAGGGAGTTGCAGTGAATATTGAGGAAATTAAAATCACCCACTACCATTACCGTGTTGTTTTTACATCTTCCATTATCCGCTTAATATCTGTTCCTCTAATTCCTGCTGGCTACTGGGAGACCTATAGTATAAGCCCATCAAAGGAATAACAAAGCTGCAATCACAAAGTTCTACTCATATTGTCTTGCTGGATGAGCCCTCCAAGATGTGCTCTCCTAGTACAGCTGTGACTTTCTGCGCAATCAATAATGTAACTTCTTCCCCTTTTTTACATCCCTCTCTATCACACTTGAAACAATTACATTATGGCTGATCATCGACCTCAATGGCACTTTCCTGAGCTATTTCCAGATCCTTTGATGTTATTAGTCCACAAAAATCTACTGATTTTGGCACTGAACCTGTTCAATGATTGAGCTTCCACAGTCCTCTGGGGTAGAAATTTCCACAAGATTTACCGTCCTCAGTGAAAAAATTCCTCTTCATCTCAGTCCTAAAAGATTGACCTAATTTTTTGAGATTATCTTCCATAATTCCAGACCCAGCAGCCAGGGAAAACATTTAACCATAATCACCTTCATGCTTCATAAGGATTTTGCAAATTTCAATGAAAGCATCTCTCATTCTCCAAAGCTCGAGTGATTACAGATCCAGGTTCCTTAATATTTCATCATAAGGCAATTCTGGCATCCCAGGGATTAGTCTGGTGAACATCTGTTGCATTCCCTCTATGTCAAACATATCTTTCCTTAGATAAGGAGACCAAAACTATATACAATACTCCAAGTGGAGTCTCACCAAGACTCTATACAACTGCAGCAAGGTATCTTTCCTCTGTCCTCAAAACTCTTGATGATCATGGCCAACATAACATTTGCCTTTGTAAGTGATATACTTTTATTGACTCATGAAAAAGGACACTCAGGTCCCCTTTGGACACCAGCACTTCTCAAGGTCTCACATTTAAGAAGTATTCTGACTTCCCGTTTTTTTCTACCAAGGAGTATAACTTTACACTTATTTGCTTTATATTCCATCAGCCAAGTTCCAGCCCATTTACTTAGTGTGTCCAAATTGCCTTGAGGCTTCCTTGCACCCTTCTCTTAACTTACGTTCCCACCTAGGTTTTCATCAGTGGCAAATATGGAAACATTTTTATTAGTTCCCCAAATTCAAATCATTTGCAAGGATTGTGAACCTTGCTCTGATCCTAACTCTAAGCCACTGGCAACAGCATCTATCCTGAGCATGATCAGTGCACTGCCACTAATACATGCGCTTTAATTTGTTTCCCAAATTCCTGCGTGGACCTCATCAAAAGCCTCTAAAATTCCAAATTCACCACATCCACTGGTTCTTCTTTATCCATGCTACAAGCAACATCCTCAAAAAAACTCTGAAAACTTTGTCAAACGTGATTTCCCTTCCTTAAATCAATGTCAATGTTACTCAATTTTACCGTTCCTCCTTCTCTCCTTAAATAATGGAGTCAAATTTGCTACTTTCCAGTCTGCACATACCTTTCCAGATTCTGTAGAATTTAAAAAGAGAAATTACTATAAATCATCCATAGGTCAGTCAGAATTTGTGGACAGAGAAACAGAACTAATACTGTAGGTTGATGATCCTTCATGAGAGATGTTGGAGTTTCCTGCATTTTCTGTTTTTATTTCAAGTTCCACTGATACCTTGTTTTGGTGATAACTTTGAAACTTGAATATCATGAACTGTTTTGATTACAGCAATTTAAAATATCATGCACTTGGTTAAACAATGGGTATTTACTCAGATCATTATGAGTACAGCATCCGAGTTACTGTGGTACAGGAAAAGATTTGCATTTTTACGGTGTCTCATGTTGAACAATATGCCATGAGCTCAAAGATGGATACCTGGTCCATCTCGGACTCCTCCTTTCCCTTCCTCAACATCTGTTCCTATTTCTGGGGATAGACTGGCCACAAATATCCACTAGAAACCCACCAACTCCCACAGTTACCTGGACTATACCTACTGACACACTGCTTCCTGAAAAAACTCTATTCCATTCTCCCAGTTCCTCCAATGTTCCAATGATGCCAACTTTTACAAGGTAGCCTCCAAAATGTCCATCTTCTCCCTCAACTGAGGATTTCCCAGTACCGTTGTTGACACCCCCATCTTCACTCTCACAATAGCAATAGGGTTCCCCTTGTCCCTACCTACCATCCCACCAGTATCTACATCCAGAAAATCATCAGCGGCCATTTCCGCCATCTCCAGCGAGATGCCACTAATAGACAAATATTCCCCTCCCCTCCCTTGTCTGCTTCAGCAGGGACAGTTCCCTCTGGGACACCCTGGTCCACTCCTGCTTCACTCCCAACACCACCTCACAGCCCCACGGCACCTTCCCCTGCAATCGCTGAAGGTGTAACACTTGCCCATTTACCCTCTCCCTCCTCAGTATCCGAGGGCCCAAACATAACTTGCAGGTGAAGCAGTGCTTCATCTGTGCTTCACACAATCCAGTCTACTGCATTCGCTGCTCACAATTCGGTCTCCTCTACATTGGGAAAATGAAGACTTGGTGACCGCTTCGCTGAACACTTACGTTCTGCCAACAAAAATGACCCTGAGCTCCAGTTGCCTGCCACTTTAACGCACCACCGTGTTCTCTGGCCAATATCTCTGTCTCAGGTTTGCTGCAGTGCTACAACTAATCTCAGTGTAAGCTGGAAGAATAACACTCATTTTCCGCTTGGGGATCCTGCAGCCTTCTGGACTCCATATCGAATTCAATAATTTTAGAGCTTGAACTCTACTATGTCCTAGTCCCCACCTTCTACACACTATGCCTTGTGATCACATGGTCTGCTATTACATACTTTGGGCTCTAACCCCAATCACCTATCGTTTAGTCCTTACTCCCTGCCTCCAACCCTATCTTCTACATAAAAAAATGACATTTTCCCAGCTACCATCAGTCCAAGGAAGAGTCACAGGACCCAAAACATTAACTCTGATTTCTCTTCATATTTACTGCCACACCTGCTGAGCTTTTCCAGCAATTTCTGTGTTTGTTTGTGCCACAAACTCGCATCCCTCCACAGCAATTCATGAAAGCAAATTCAACAAATGTGATTAGTTTTTGCATTTACGCCAGAAAATGACGAGGAAAGCTGCAAAACTCCCGCAGTTTCACTTCTATTCTATTTTATTATACTTTATTAATTTGAGGATAGATTTACTTCCCTCAGTGGAATTGCCTTGCCTCACATCTCAGAACAGTCATAAAACTGGCAGGAAGATGATTAAATACTTGCCAGATTGTGCTTAATGAGCTCCTTCGCAAAATCAAACACAGGAGATGCAATGTCCATTAAATTTTTCAGTTCTGCCTGTGAAGGGAAAACAAAAAACTGATAAAACTAAAGGTCATTACTTTCTGGAAAACTGGCACAAATTTTGCAAAAATAAAATCATCTATATGGTTAAGCAATTCCTGACACATTTTACAGAATAAAAATAAAACTTCCTATCTCAGCACATGGGCACTAGAAAGAACAGCATTTATTGCCCATCTATAAATGCCTCTGAGGTGGTGTTAAACTGCCTTCTTGTACTACTGTAGTCCGTGTGATGTAAGTATGCTCATAGTGTTGTTATGGAATGAGCTCCTAGATTTTGACCTACTGACTCTTCCTTGCTCAATTAAAGCAATATCAGTATACACATTATCAATCTGTCAGCTCGGCTTGAGCTTGTGATGGAACTCTTATTCCTTTCTTCTTGTAAAGATTGTATCTTTTTATTTTTCTGCATTTTTGACTGAGGACTGAAATGGGAAAAGGGCTGTTTTAAAAACCAAAGATTATGGAAAGGACTGCTGCACTTTTTAAAAGCAAGTAATCAATACTTATTGTAAGTGCTGCTGCTTCAAGCAGTGAGGGGCAGGTTTACTTCAAATGAACTGGCGCTAACGGGATGTGAAATACAGCTGGCAACATGTAGCAGACTGATTTGTGGAGTTGTGAACAGTTGTCAATGACAAAGGTTTTGTGTTTGGTTTCAATTATATGATTGGCTCCCAGGTAGCGTAACAACTTGTGGGTTGGAACGATATTGCCAGAAGACACTGCACCTTCAAAAGGGGAAGTGGTGTTCTTTTCTCTACAGTAGAAAATTCCTACATCCTAGAGAAAGCCAGTTTATATTCCCTCACCAGATGCTATATGATGTTGCTTTTTACCAATAAGTTAGAGATGTTATAATTGTAAACCGGGCACTCCATGCCTCCTGCAAGTGAATGAAAATGACCTGCAGAAGAACGAGACTGATGAACAACAGGTCCTGACAAGGCAAAACAAACATCTCAGCAAACCCTGTGGACAGGGGCCGCTAAACTGTCTTCAGTTTTTTCTTCCTCCACACATAACACCAATGTCTTATTGTGTTTGTCTAATATAGGTATAGGGGAGTGTTATAAGGGAGTTAGAATTTTAACCACTAGAGTTATACATTGATATTTCTTAGATGTTTACCTATTACTATGTATTGATTCTGATTAAGTACAGAAACTGGTCCACGCTTTCTGTTAACTCGTGTTTTAAAAAAAAGGGTAAATTAGGGAACTTTGTGTATGTTGATAAAATCTTTAACTTTTGTGACAAGTCTGAAACTTGATTTCCCAGATGCTACTCCAGTGAAGTATGACACTTAGTTGGTAGATTCCAGCTTTGTTACAAGAGACAAAAAAAGGCTGTCATGCTGGAATCCAAGGCAGACAAACAGGAGGCTGGAAGAACACAGCAGGCCAGGCAGCATCTGGAGGAAAGGATTGCTTTCATTAGTTAAGAACCCTAAAACCTTTGTTTTAAGAAAGTTTTATTTGCTGCTATCACTTCAAATGTTGTAAATCAACACAGCTAAACAATCCCTCAACCAACAGATCAGACCTAAGATCTGCAGTCCTGCAACATCCACATTCAACAAGTGAATTTAAAAAATCTAATTCAAACCCTAGGATAACTCTCACCCACCCCACCCCCTCTCCTATCCACTCCCCCTCCTCCGCTCCCCCCACTCCCCCGCCACCCCCACCCCACCCCACAGTGCTCCACTCTCAAAACTTGGCTGTCAGTTCCCAACACCTCACTGCTTCACTCTAACTCAATGCTTGCTCTCTCATTGTTTAACATTCCTGCAAGTGAGGAAGCAGTTAAGGGAGTAGGAGAGAGGCAATGAGGGGTCAGGAACACAGTAACAAAGCAGGTTTTGAGCAGAATGATGTGTGAAGTGCTGAGCCGAGATAGCAGACAGGGCCAGCAACTGGGAACTCTGGACAGCAAGCTAGAAGGAGCTCCGAGCAATGCTGGCGAGCTGAGACCAGAACTATTTGTGGAAATTCTTAAGTGTGGTGCAAGGATTTCTTGGGTGTACAGCTGTTAGTGGTATCTATGGGCAGTGTGGACACTGAATTTCAGTTCCAGGACCCCAATGAAAAATGCCAACTGTACCATCTTCCTGTTCCTGCATAGTGGTAGGTGATGCACAGTCTAAGAAAAGGGATTTTTCAGAAGAGGCTTAGCAAATTATTTTCACCTGAATGGACATCAGAATCTGGAATACATTACCACTGGTGGGTAAAGCCAAGAAGCCAAGACAACAGGACCATTAAGAAGAACATTAAAGATCAGGAAATGTGAATAAGGCAAAGGTCCCAATATGGTGTCGGCTAAAGGCAATAATGATGGACCAATTGCCTTTCTGTCAATGCCCAGTTTCTCAACAGAACTGAATAAATGACCGTGTAAGCAGGTTGCCAAAGAAAGTTCATATAGAACCCAACAAGTGTTGTAGGAAATGAACAGGTTAAGTTAGATAACAGTTAAAGCCTTAGCCATATAGTCAGTAATAAGCAAGCTGGCAAAGTATCTGGGAACAGACAAGGCATCCAGACTGTCACAAAGTTAGTAGCTAGAAACCATGTTATCAAAGGCTTTGGGTGAACAACAGACAATGCCTACAAAGACTGTAAGAAACAAAAATAATATGGCACACCTGAAATCCTCCTATCAATTTATCATGTTGACCCCCTACAACAGGAATGAAAGAAAACTTGAGCATTAGCCTCTGTTCTCAGCTCAAGGCATTACCTCTGCTGCCTTGCCATTGTAAAGTCGGAAGTGATTGCAGGCTTTCAGGTTCAGTGCGATAGTGCTGTCAGGATAATGTTGCAGATAGACTGCCAGAACCTCCTGGGAAACGTCATAGTAATCCAATTTGTAGTAGCAGAGAGCTACATAAACATTCAAGGCCATGAACTCCCTAGCAAAACATAAAGGGACAAGTTAGCAAGCTTGAAGAGCTACATTCTACAGTAACAGAAGGAAATGTCAGAAGCACTGTCTTTTGAACTAAGGCTGCATCTAACTTCGGGTCGATGTAAAGAACTCTTAGCACCATTTTGAATAAAAGCAGGAGAGTTCTCACCTACTCATTATGCTTGCAGGGATTTTACTGTGTGCATTTGGCTGCTGCATTTTCTACATTACAATAGTGACTACACTCTTTCAATAGGTGTAAAGTGTTTTGAAATGTCTAGTGGTCATGAAAAGCACTATATAATTACAAATCTTTTTCCTTCTTTATCCTTTGAGAGATTTATCATCTCTTCAACTAGATTTAACTTGACTAGATTCACTCAACACTTTATTTGGAATACAGTCTTATATCTTGTTTCAATAAGACTTGGTTTCTAATTCAATGCAGCGCTAAGATTAATCGGTATACGTTAACTCCTCGTATGTTGAGTCTACTTGTGGACAAATTCTTTGCAAGCCATAGTTTATTCACAATGACTACATCAACATCATGGCCTTTTCAAAAACTTGGCTGACTGGTGGTGACACATCCCCACCTGATGTATCCCCAGCTGTCTACTTCTTTCAACACATGCTTCACCCAAATTGTATGATGGGTGATGATGTGACTCGATCAAATCTTATTTTGGTCTGTCCCCTTACTCCCCTTGAACTTTCTGCTCCTTTAAACATCTCAACTTGTTCTATTCCTCTCAGCTAGAATCCAGGCTCCCTATGGTTTGAAACATATCACGCTCTTCTTTCTTTCGCACTGAGCCATCTTCAGCGCTTTCCTTCTTCAGCCTCTGCAATGAGTGGTTTCTGATTCTCAATGATTTTATATCTCATCTCAACTCCTCATGTTCTCTTTCTCCCAGGGAGCAATTTCTTCTCATCACATCCTCCATTTAATTTTCTCAACCCATATCCATGGCAACCCAGTTGACATTGCTATCTCAATGGCCTTGCTACCTCCATAGTATCTGACCCAACATTTGTGATGTAATGATGTAATGACCCTATTTAACCTCCAGAAAGCAAAATTTCTCTACTTGCCCACTGCCATAATACAACACTGTCCCCAGCTATCAATATCCATGGTGAGCCCCTGGACAACCACATATTTCCACTTTCCCAGACTCCCCATCCATGCCTTTGTTACGTCTGATATTCTGATGAAATCCTGACCAATCTCTCTCCATTAACTTGACATCGTCCAAAACATGCATCAAATCACTGTCCTCTCTTATATACACTAGCTCATGCTTAAACAATGTACCAACTATAAGTTCTCTTCCTGGCTCTCAAATCCCTCCGTCATTCCAAACTTTCCTATTTTTGCAATCTCCTCTAGCTCTCCAACCCTCAGATATCTAGGTTCTAAATCCAGTCCATTGATCAACCCACATCTCATCATTTTTGGTGGCTCTGCCCTTTACCGCCAAGAACTGCCAAATTTCTTCCGTCTGACTCTCTACCTCGCTTACTTCCTTTAAGACTCTCCTTAAGAGAGGGGAGCTGATGACTAGTAATCCAGAACACCAGGCTGATGTTCTGGGGCCACTGGCTCAAATCCTGCCATGGTAGGAAGTGAAATTTGAATTTAATGACACTATGGAATTAAAATGTTAGCTAATAGTGACCGTGTGACCACTGCTAATTGTTGTTAAAAACTCATCTGGTTCACTAATGCCCTTAGGAAAGAAACTCTATCCTATATACAACTCCAGACCTACTGTGCTGTTGTTAATTCTGAGTAATAAATGCTGGCCTCGTCAACAATTCCAACATTTCATGAACAAATGAAAACCTAGCTCTTTGAACGCTTTTGGCCAATTGCTTTATGTGTTGCAGTATCATATCTTGTTGGATCATTCTCTGTAACTTCGGGATGTTTAATTATGTTGTTAGTACAATACTTTTGAAGTGTACCAAACTCTGATTTGATGACAGCCAAGGATATAAAATAAGAATCTCAGTCATTCTTGTAGTTTTGACCCTATTTAACTTGCAGAAAACAAAATTTCTCTACTTGTCCACTGCCACAATACAACACTGTCCCCAACTATCAATATCCATGGTGAGCCCCTGGACAATGTGGATCATTTCCCATACCTCAGAATCCACCACTTTGTGCAAGCAGACATTGGAATCAATGTTAGATTTCTTTGTCAATGCGTCAACACAGCCTTCAGACACCTGAGGAATAGATTGTCCTAAGTCCTAGCTCTTAAACTCAGCATCAAGCTAATGATCTACAGAGCAACTGTGAATCCCCACCTCCTGTATGCATCATGAAACAGCAAATACTTCAAATCCCTGGAGAGTTATCACCAAAATCATACAAATCCACTGACAGGATAAGTGTACCGGCGAGAGTGCCCTCTCCCAGTCCAACATCCCCAGTATCAAGGCATTGATCTCACAAGAACAGATGCAATGGGTGAGCCACATAGTCCACACGCCAAGTACGCTATTCCAAGCTCCATTATGGTAAGTGATCACTAGAAGGACACCCTGAAAGCCTCCCTAAACAAATGAAACACCGACACATGGTAAGTGCCTGTCCATGCAATTGGGAGCAGTAAGTGGGAGACATTGGGTCAATGGAATTGGGATGAGTAGCTGAACTTCTGAGTCACTTCTTTAAAAAGTGAAATTAAATTGGAGGGGAGGCACCTCACTGAGTGGAGCTGAGAGTTCAGAAAAAGCCATTCATCTTTTTAATTGAAAAAAAAAGCCTGATAGAAGTAGGTCTTGAATCAGTGATAATTCAATATCTTCAATCAAGTTCAAAACCTAGTTAACAAGAACCCATGACTAAAGATTAGAATAGGAAACAGAAGCAGGATTAGAATTCTTTAGATTAGAATTAGAATTCTTAGCATTCTTCTTTCTGAGCCTGCTGCATCATTCAACTAGATCATGATTGATCTTCTACCTTGATGCAATTTTCCCAACCAGTGGAGCTATTTCATGTAGAGCGACACTAGCATGTGGCATGGCCCACCATGGATGGTAATGGCTGATGATGAAATTTGAATAAATTTTAAAAATGTGAATTAAAAACAATCCTAATGGTAATCATGTTACCACTATTGATTATCATTAAAAAGCTATCTCATTCACTCATGTCAATTAGGGAAGAAACCCTGCCAGCCTTAACTAGTCTAGCCTGCGTGTGATCTACACCCATAGCAATACAGTTGTCTCTTAAATACTCTTTAGGCAATTAGAGATGAGCAAAAATTGCTGGCCTAGCCAGTGAGACTCATAACTTGTGATTTTTTTTAAAATATCATAGCAAAACCAATGAGCATCAGCTACCACTCATCAATGACCAGTGAGAATATTCAGATAAATAAGTTAAATAGGCTAATCAACTCATTCAAAAAAACTCAAGCCATTAATTGAGATGCTCAATGTAGCATGACCCACCAGGGATGGTAATGGAAGCAAAATCAAAAATTACTTTCTTACAGATAAGTACTCTACTGTATTGTCCTGAAAGTTAGGACTGAAGATGTCAAGAGTCCTTCTATACTGAAAACAATGAAATTGTTTGGCTAAAATCATTCCAGATTCGTGAGATTAGGGTTTAAGCATTAATTTGTAATATTTATCACTTCTCTAAAAGGTCCTAGCAATACATCAATAACTTGTTACTACTCAGTAACGGCTGTGCCTGTTCCAGCTGATAACAGGTCATCAGCTTATTCTCTAATACTACATTATCCCACTCATGTCCAGCGTCACCTTATCACATAAGCAGTAGGTTGGCATTATGTTTCTTCGCCGATATGTTCAATTAACACCAACTATGGAACAATGATAGGAATTACCGGTTGTCAAGCAGGATGCGTTTGTAGATATCAATAGCTTCCTGGTAATGGGAACGCATGTAGTGGATTGAAGCTAGACTGAGTTGATCCTCAGTGATGTCCTGTAGATTCTGGTGGTAGTTCATCAACCGCTTCTCGTCACTGAACTAGCATAAAACATTAGGAATCCTATTATTCATTAAAATAACGGCAGTATGAATCGAAATGAGGGAAACAAACAGAACAGTGAGGTTACCAAGAGAAGGAAAAACTTACCAAAAGAATGTGAAAGAGTTGAATAGAAAATGGAACAAGAGCCAAAGACAGAAAAACAGTAAAACTGAGTTTGCCATATCAAGAGAGATTTATAGAAAAAGACATAAAACAAGTAAGATAACAACATGGAAGAGAGTGAAGAGAAGGGAGAGAAAGAAGGCAACAGAACAATTAAAGTGTGTTAAAGAAATAGAGAGGGAGCAGAAGTGCAAAGACTACAGACCAATTCGTATCTGCAAAACAATCAGAAATGAATATGTAATGTAAGACAATAACTAGCATTTCAATACACCTTATTTGTCCTAAGCACACCTCACAGGAGCATTTTCAAACAAAGTTGACAATAGAACCCAATAAAATGATATTTGGATCAAAGATCAAAAGCTTGGCTAAAGATGTTAGCTTAAAGGAGTGATTTAAAAGGCAGAAAAGGAGGAAGAGATGTGAAGAGTTTTCAGGTGAAAATTCCAGAGCTTAGGACCCAGGCAGCTGAAGACACAGCTATCAATGGAGAAGTGGTTAAAATTGGAAATGCTCAAAAGACCAGAATTGGGGATGGTAGGATTGTCAATATCTCAGATGGTGTGGCACTAAATGAAATGACAAGAGATGGGAAGGGGAAGAATTTGACAGTAATAATAAGAATTTTAAATCTGAGATGTTACTTTGTTGGGAGGCAGTGTATATCAGTGAGGAAATAAAGAAACAGTAATTAGGACTTGGTGCCACTTTGGACATGGGTTTAGGGTGACCTCAATTTCAGAGAGAATAGAAAATTGGAACCTGGCCAGGAGTGCATTGGATTATTCAAGGCTAGTCGTGACAAAGGTATTGATGTGTATTTATTGACATTAACCAACTTGAGGAGATTACCTTGTGAGCCAGGTGAAATAACAGGCGATTCTGCAATCGACTTTTAGGAGCTGAAAACAGAAGGAGTAGGCTTTAATTTCTAGTTATTGGAGATTTTGTTCCTTTTGCTTCTAAATTCTCAAGCTATAGGGAGAGACCCAGCCTATTCAACCTATTTTCCTTGAAGCATTACAGGCTGAGGGGTGACCTTACAGAAGTTTATAAAATCATGACGGCCATGAGTAGACAAGGTCCCCACCCCCCAAGGTAATGGGAAGGCAATGGCCTAGTGGTATTATCACTGGACTATTACTCCAGAGACACAGGTAATGTTCTGGGGTCCTGGATTGGAATCCAGCCACAGCAGATAGCGGAGTTTGAATTCAATAAATAACTAGAATTAAGAATCTAATGATAACCATGAATCCATTGCCAATTGTTGGAAAAACCCATCCGGTTTAATAGTGCCCATTAGGGAAGGAAACGGCCATCCTTACCTGGTCTGGCCTACATGTGACTCCAGACCTACAGCAGTATGGTTGACTCTGAACCGCCCTCTGGGCAAATAGGGATGGGCAATAAATGCTGGCCTAGCCAGTGACGTCAGTGAATAAACTTAAAAAAAAGAGGGCATAGGTTTAAAGTGAGAGTGGAAAGATTTAAAAGGGACCAATGGGCCAACTTTTTCACACAGAGGGTGATGCATGTACAGAAAGAGCTGGCAGCACAGTGGTTAGTACTTGTGCCTCACAGTGCCAGGGACCCAGGTTCAATTCCAGCCTTGGGCAATTGTCTGTGTGGAGTTTGCACATTCTCCCCGTGTCTGCGTGGGTTTCCTCCGGGTGCTCTGATTTTCGCCCACAGTCCAAAGATGTGCATGTTAAGTGGATTGGCCATGAGAAATTGCCCAAAATGTCCAGGGATGTGCCGTGGGAAATCGAGTTACAGGGATAGGGTGGGTGGCAGAAATTGCTGGGGTGGTGGTGAGCCTGGATGGGATGCTCTTCAGAGAGTCGTTGTGGCTTGTTGGGCCAAATGGATTTTTTCCACACTGGAGGGATTCTATGATTAGAGGAAGTGGTGGAGGCTGGTCCAATTAGAGGGACATGGGCCAAATGCTGGCAAATGGGACTAGGTTAATTTAGGGTTTCTGGTCAACATGGACAAGTTGGACCAAAGGGTCTGTTTCCGTGCTGTACATCTCTGTGACTTTATGCTGGAACACTGTACAACAAAACAGAAGTGTGTTACTATTAATCGTTTATTTTCTAAAATGCAGTTATAATTTGTTTTATCAGAAAGAGAAAGGAGGAGGAGAAGGAGGCCATTGGACTCTCTCAGAGAGCTATTCAATTTAGCATTACTTCCCCACAACCTTACAATTTATTTTCCTTTCTAAAAGGGATTCAGATACCTTTTAAAGTTAGTATCGAATGTGCTTCCATAATACTTTAAGGCTGAGCTTTCCATATCATCATAACTTGCACAAAGGTCTTCCCTCATCTCCCTTTTAGTGTTTGCTGATCATTTCAAATTGATTTTCCTCAGTTGTTGACCAAACTATCAGTTGAGTTTCAACCATCTGGCAGCTAATTCATTAAAATCACATATATAAAATGTTCACTTAAACATTTCCACTCCAAGATGTCACCTTTCATTGCTGCTTCCTCTGCCTCCTTGTACATGCCCAGAAAAAAGTAAGTACATGCTAGATTCACCCAAACATCAGGGTGACAGTTTTCATTCTTCGTCAGGACTTCATATTCCTAAAACATGCAAATAGAGAATTATCATAAATCACATGTAGCTGAGACAGATAGTCATCATATTCTCCTGCATAGTTGAAAAGATTGAACTATGTGCACTTCATGATGCCACATGAGCCTTGCAACAGGCTAAGAACCTTTAACTCATTTCAAGGAAGCTTCAGTTTCATGCGCAGTTCACCAATGCCAGTGTTAGATTATAGCTCCACACAATCAAAAGAAAGTACATTTTTGTAATTAAACTAGTAATGCATTCTGCCATTGGTCAAGGCAAGAAATTATGTCAATTGTACATGATGTCCAGCTACCAGCAACCACACAACAGTAGATCAGGGGGACTGGATCTCGATTTTTGGAAAACATTTTCACTCTACAGGGTATTCGTCAATGGTAAATAGTAAAGTAAAAGCAAAAGCAGACTAATGCAGATGCTGAAAATCAGAGACAAAAATAGAAAATGAATGAAATATTCAGCAGATCTGACAATCTGTGGAGAAAAAGAGTTAACCCTTACAAGTTACATGCTTTTTTTGGCCTAGATACTCCAATCTCCAGACAGAAGATCAGACATACCCTCATAGATGTGCATGACGACACATCGGACATCCTAAGGCAGTGACTACATAATAATTGCTTGGGAAGTTTAACATTCCAATGGGAAATTACCCGATCTCTGGAATTCTTCAAACTTCAGAGAGTTCCAACTTACTTACCTTAACACAGTTAGCTAGGAAAAGTTAAAAGGATTAAAACCTATTCTAGTGCCTGGCTAATTATAAAACTGACTCTCTCAATCACTCACACTGATGCACTCCCCGGCTTATACAATTGACCCAATTATTCCACCTTCCACATGGACACCCAACAAAGGACACTTGACAGACCATCCCACAAAGACACCTGCCTGATACCCAACAAGAACACCCTACCAAACACGCTTGCCCCGAGACAGCACAGCAATTGCACACCCCCTCCACCAACAGATGTCTTACTTCCACAACTTCCCTGCTACTATTTGCAAATATCTGAAACCATCATCCCTCCCCGTGATGTCTGACTCACCCTGCCCTTTTACCTGCTTATCTGCCATGTATACCTCCCACCCAGCAGGCATACTACCCCCTCACCTACCTAAATCCTATCTTTTTGCCCAAACACTTGCCACCCGATTTCCATTCCCATTTACCTTACACACTTACCTTCTCTCAGTAACAAGAACAGAAATTGCTGGAAAAGCTCAGCAGGTTTGGCAGCATCTGTGGGAAGAAATCAGAGTTAACCTTGCAGGTCAAGTGACCCTTCTGTAGAACTCAGCAATTTCTTCTCAGCTTTTCTGAGTTCTGCAGAAGGGTCACTTGACCTGCAACGTTAACTCTGATTTCTTCCCACAGATGCTGCCAAACCTGCTGAGCTTTTCCAGCAATTTCTGTTTTTGTTTCTGATTTACTATATTTGCAGTTCTTTCGGTTTTTAGCCTCTCAGTAGCTGTTGAAACGGCCCTGAGATCTTTAAACATTTTACTTACTGGAACATGGCAACTGCTACCCTAAAGAGGGGACATTGCTTCTGCAGCGATTCTCTGATATAGATTGCGTGGTTTGCTAAATTGCTTTTTTACCTGATCTAGGTTGGAAACAAGGATTCAAACTAGATTGAAAGATTCAGGGATCCATTTCTATCTCCAGAGATAGGGTCAGAGCATTTACCATTATTCAAATCAGAATATGACAGAAACAGGAGAATGGGGAATCTCGCATGGGCGTGAGGTGGAGACTGGCTTACTCCCATGATGGTTACAAATCACAGATTTAAGTATACAGAGATAGTAGGAACTGCAGATGCTGCAGAATCTGAGATAACAAGGTGTAGAGCTGGATGAACAAAGCTGGCCAAGCAGCATCAGAGGAGCAGGAAGGCTGACGTTTCAGGCCTAGACCCTTCTTCAGAAAGGATTTAAAGATACACTTGTGTTTAGAGTCCTGTTGCTCAGCAAAAGGAGCTCCAACTCCTGTTCTGCTGTAAAATAAACTTTTATAGTCCAATTCCTGACACGCACATCTACAGCGCAGTGGCAGTTACAAGATTTAATTGTATTCTGAGCAGATTTTACACACGCGAAAAAAAAAGTGGGAAGCTGCATTAATTTGTTTGAGAAGGTGGTGGTGGGCTGTCTTCTCGGACCACTGCAGTCCACATGCTGTAGATACACCCACAATGCCATTTGGGAGGGAATTCCAGGATTTTGACCCAGCAACAATAAAGAAATGGTGATATATTTCCAGGTCAGGAATGTGAGTGACTTGGAAGGGAACTTGCAGATGGTGCTGTTCCTACGTATCTGCTGTCCTTGTCCTTCTAACTGGTGGCGGTTGAGAGTTTGAAAAGTGTTGTCTAAGGGGCCTTGGTGAATTTCTGCAATGCATCTTGTAGATGGAACACACTGCTGCTACTGAAGTGGTGGTGGAGTGATCAAATGTTTGTGTATGTCATGCCAGTCAAGTCAGTTAAGTCGTCAATGGCGTCAAGCTTCTTATATGTTGTTGTTGGAGCATCAAGACAACTGGGCAGTATCCTATGACACTCCCAGATTGTGCTTTTAAAATGATGGACAAGCATTAGGGAGTCAGGAAGTGAGTTCTTGCTGCAATATTCCTAGCCTCTGACCTGCTCTTGTAGCTACTGTTTTTATACAGCTAGTCTAGGTCAGTTTCTGGTCAATGGTAATTCCAAGGATGTTGATAGTGGGAGACTCAGTGATGGTAACACCACTGAATGCCAAAGGGCGATGATTAGATTGGCTCTTATTGGAGATAGCCATTGCCTGGCATGTGTGTGGCATGACTGTTACTTGCCACTTATCAGCCCAAGTCTTGTCCAGGTCTTGTTCAATTTGGACATGGATTGCTTTAGTATCTGAGGTGTTGCAAATAGTGCTCAATATTGCACAGTCAACAACAAATATCCCCATTTCTGACCTTACAATGAGCTAAGGTCTGCAGCTGAAGATGCTCGGGCATAGGACACTACCCTGATGAACTCCTGCAGAGAGGTCCTGGATCTGAGAAGACTGACCTCCAACAATCACAACCATCTTCCTTTACGCCAGGTATGACTCCAACCAGTGGAGAATTTTCCAGATTCCCATTGGCACCAGTTTTCCAATATTAAAGCATTTAAATATACCGGTTATGATGTCTGTTACACGAAAAACACTTAAAATGTCAAAGTTCATCGTCTTTGCAAGTTTTCCCTTACCTCCATGGCCCGCTTATAATCTCCAAGATGGAACGCACAGTATCCTATCCACAAGTCAACATCTTCCTCATTCTCCCCCACATGCCGCTTGAACTGGAATAGTAAAAGGACAGTCAGAGAGAAGAGATCTTCCAACCAGGTGAAATGATAAGAGCTACAGCTCTCAGTACTCACGGATTCCAAACATGGTACATCTTAGGCTGAGTATATAGCACCGCACCAAGTTTGAGCTCAGAAGAACGGAAGTCATTCAGAGCCCCCAGACTCATACAACCTTTAACGCCCTTGCCCAACAACAAAAAAAAACATCAGTGCAGCCTCCGATGAAGCGCTGTTGTGTTTTCCTGCCTGGTATTTAAACTCTGGCATCTGTTAGATTTGATTATCTCATTTCCGGTTTTCGTTCACAGTGAGGAAGGTTATCAGAAATTGCAGCAGCATCTTGATCAGCTTGGGAATTGGGTCAAGAATGGCAAATGGGGGTTAATACAGATAAGCATGAGGTGTTGCATTTTGGAAAGTCAAATCAAGGTCGGAGCTTCGTGGTGAACTGTAGGGCTTTAAGGAGTGTACTGGAAGAGAGGGACCTTGGAGTTCAGGTACACGGTTCTCTGAAAGTGGAGTCACAAGTAGACAGGGCAGTGAAGAAGGTTTTTGGCACACTGGCCTTCATGCGTCAGGGCATTGAGTACAGAGGTTTGGAAGTTACGTTGCAGTTGTACAGGATGTTGGTGAGGCCACACTTGGAGTATTGTGTTCAGTTTTAGTCAAGTTGTCATAGGAATTATGTTATTAAACTGGAAAGAGTGCAGAAGAAACTTTCAAGAATGTGGCCAAGACTCAAGGGACTGAGTTATAGGGAGAGATTGGCCAAGCTAGAATGTTTTTCTTTAGAGGATAGGAGACTGAAGAGGGGCGATCTTATCGAAGTTTATAAGATCATGAGAGGCATGGATAGGGTGAATGCACTCGGTCTTTTTACCAAGGTTGGGCAATTGAGGACTAGAGAGCTTCAGTTTAAGGTAAGAGGGGAAAGAATACATGGGAACCTGAGGGACAACTTTTTTTTCTACACAGAGGTATGCATATGGACTGAGCTGCCAGCGGAAGTGGTTGAGACGGGTACATTAACAACATTTAAAAGGCATTTGGACAAATAAATGGATAGGAAAGGTTTAGAAGGATATGGGCCAAGTGCAGAGAAATGGGGTTAGTGTGGATGGACACTTTGGTCAGCATGGACCAGTTTGGGCTGAAGGGCCTGTCTCCATGCTACAGGACTTTATGACTCTAAATCACTTCCAACTTCGAGGAGAAAAGTTCTCCCAACCAAATCAAGGCTGAGGCAGGTTTATGAGGTCAATGAATCACATTATTTTTCTTTTGCTTTATAACCATGAACTAAGGTTACTTTTTCACTCAAAGGGATCATTGCAGAGAGTGGACAAATTGCCTAATCTGAACGTCCGGTTTTACCTCCAACAATGTCAGGGCCCCCGAGTAGTCTCTGCTGGTCAGATATTCCTCCAACTTTGGAATCTTTTTCCCCTTCTTCTTCTTTTTATCCATCTGCAGTGTTTCCCCACTGACAGCAGGTTTTGCACGTGACAGCATCTGGACAGAAAAAGAAAGCACCGACACTCACTCCATAGGGTTTTTACTTGACTACTAACACCAACCTTATCATTATCTCTGACCACTGTATAATTGAGATTCCAGCTATCAGAGATGTATGAAAGCAGATAGTATCAGCAAACATCTTCATGGTAGAGACTTATTTTTAAAATTAGCTTTGATTCCCAACTTTACAACTCCACTCTCATGTTTCACAAGACTCCATTTCTGCAAGTGATCTGCAACCAGGCTAAATTGATATCAGACAGGGTTCTAAGTGGCCATTCTTAATTGCAGCCTGATTAGTGAATTCCTGTGGGTTACACAGCGATGCCAACCCCTGCCATCACCCAACAAACACTCAACTGCATTCTCCAGTAAGGATCAAATTAAGAATGGAACTCACCATCCTGGATTACTTCCATTTCCCAATGACTGCTTAAAAGATGAAAGAAAGTCTGAGATCTTTGTTTTTTATCATTTTGGCCCAACAAAAATTGAGAATTACATTATTACCTGAACAGAAAGAATAAGGCAGGCAAGTATGATGTCATGTTCTTCTTGCAGAGAGTCCACACAGATATGATGAGCTGAATGGCCACCTCTGTACTCCATTTCATGATTGTATGGAAAATTATCTGGAATCGTCTTGATTCCTGGTAGATTATCAACATTCTAGGAATCATCCTTGACCAGAAACTGAACTGGAACAGCCATATAAATATTGTGGCTACAAGACTGCATCAGAAGCTGAGTATTCCACTATGAGTAACACACTTCCAGTCTCTCCAATGTATATCTGTCATCTACAAGGCACAAGTGAAGAGTGTGATGGAATTCTCTCCACATGCCTGGATAAGTGCAGCTCTGACTGCACACAATAAGCTCAGCAACATTCAGAGAAAGCTGGCTTGATAAGCACTCCGTTGCAGTGACAGTACTGTGCACCATCTACAAGTTGCTCAACAACAATTCGTCAAGGTTTCCTCAAATCACTTTCCAAAACCACAAATTTCCACCTCCAAAAGGACAAGGGTGGCTGATAGATGGAGGCACCACCACTTGCAAGTTTCCCTCCAAGTTATACATTGTCCTGATTTGGAATTATATTGCCATTTTTTCACTGTCACTTCAGCGGCACGGTGGCCAGGGACCCGGGTTCGATTCCACTCACGGGCGACTGTCTGTGTGGAGTTTTCATGTTCTCCCTGTGTCAGCGTGGGTTTCTGCCACGTGCTCTGGTTTCCTCCCACAGTCCAAAGATGTGCGAGTTAAGTGGATTGGCCATGCTAAATTGCCCATTGTGTTCAGCAATGTGTAGGTTAGGTGCGTTAGCCATGGGAAAAGCAGGATTACAGGGAAAGGGTATTAGGATGGATCTGGGTGAAATGCTCTTCAGAGGGTCTGTGTGGACTTGTTGGGCCTAATAGCCTGTTTCCACACAGGGATTCTATAGAATTCTATTCTATGGAATTCTATGGGTCAAAATCCTGGATATCCCTTCCTAGCAGCACTGTGGATGTATCTACAATACATGGAATGCAGTTGTTCAAGGCAGCAGCTCACCATCACCTTCTCAAGAGCAACTAGTGATGGACATCAAAAGCTGACCCAGCCAATAACACCAGTATCCTGTGAATCAATGAAATTAAAACCTTCCAGGCATTTCTATGTTGGTGTGCTTTTATCATCTACATCTAAAGACATACAGTGTAGGAAAACAGGAAATAGCTAGGGTAGAAAATGTGGGCATCATAGTGTAGCAAGGCAAAAAGAGTCTAAATTTCAGCAGTCTCACAAGAACGCACAGAAATTTGTCACATTAGTGCTCTCAGATAGTGATCGGGATTGAGTTGCTGCACAAAGATTTCCCAAACTTGAGCTGTTACGTATTTCTTTCAGGATACTCTGATCCCACCTTTCGCAGGTATATGCAATGCAGCTTACCTTAAGGGAACTCTGGCACAGCAGAATCAGAAGATAGGAAACACTTTTTTAAACAGCAATGTCAGTTGATAAGTTTAAAGGTCCAGTCTTTGCATGTTCATGAATGGGCAAGTAACATGAGTTATCAGGTGAGGTGAGTGAACAGGTAACTATGCAGGTAAGTATCAGGCGTTTATAATACAATTGTGGTTTGCCACATTTCTTGATACAGGTGGGACTTGAACCTAGACCTTCTGGCCCAGAGTTAGGGATACTGCCACTGTGCTGCAAAAGCTCCCCTTGCTTGTTCTACCACATACACCATGCAATTGGCGAAACATTAGAACTGCATAGTGTGCTATACAACCTATCCTAGAGGTAAAGGCAATAATAACTATAGAAATGTTTTAATTATTTCTCTGATGCATTTATTTTGAATTAGACATTTATCCAGCCACCCTTAACAAATACATCGTATACCACTTGTACTTCAGTTAACCATATTCCAAGTAGAGACTTTAAAAGATCGGATATTCAGGATCTCTTCTATGGAGATAACACCCTTTTTGCCCAAGACACTGACTGAACGACTTTACAATTGGCCTTCAGGTTCCCTGAAAATCCCACAATGACGCCCGCCCTCAGATTTCGAAAAACCGCTCCCTCTTCGATGGAGAGAAAGAAGGGTCCAGACCCGAAACGTCAGCTTTCCTGCTCCTCTGATGCTGCTTGGCCTGTGCTATCCAGCTCTACACATTGTTATCGCTCTTCGATGGAGATTGCCTGGGCCTCCCTCACTCCCCGCTCCCAAACCAGGCCAGGGCCAGGGCCAGACCGCGCAGAGTTTTGTACAGCAGAAAAACAGGTGCTGGGGTCCACGGTAGAAGCGGCAATTCGGCATGCCCGGCTCCATGAGTCCGGGTCAAGGCCTCGAACTCACCATTTTGTCGCTTCTTTCCACTCAGCTTCCAACTCCAAGCGACCCAACCGCCTGTTGTCGCCGTCATAGCAACGAGGCCCCGCCTCCCCACCGCCGATCATAGCAACGAAGCCCCGCCTCCCCACTGCCTATCGTGGCAACGCAGCCCCGCCTCCCAAACACCTATCGTGGCAACGAAGCACGCCTCCCCACGGCCTTCCGTGGCAACGCAGCCCCGCCTCCCCAACACCTATCGTGGCAACGAAGCACGCCTCCCCACCGCCTTCCGTGGCAACGCAGCCCCGCCTCCCCAACACGTATCATGGCAACGAAGCACGCCTCCCCACCACCTTCCGTGGCAACGCAGCCCCCCCTCCCCACCGCCGATCATAGCAACGAAGCCAAGCCTCCAATGGTCAGAAGTCACATGACGGCAGGTTATAGTCCAACAGGAACAAAAACAAATTTGCTGGAAAAGCTCAGCAAGTCTGGCAGCATCTATGAAGGAAAAAACAGACTTAACGTTTCGGGTCCGGTGATCCTTTCTCAGAACAGGTTTATTTGAAAACACAAGCTTTCAGAGTGTTACTCCTCCTTCAGGTATTAACAACATAGAACAGTACAGCACAGTACAGGCCCTTCGGCCCACGATGTTGTGCCGATTTATTATCCTACTCTAAGATCAAATTACCCTGCATACTCTTCATTTTACTATTATCCATGTGCCAATCCAAGAGTCAGTTAAATGTCCCTAATGTATCTGACTCTACTACCACCGCTGGCAGTGCATTCCACGCACCCACCACTCCCTGTGAAAAGAACCTACCTCTGACATCTCCCCTATACCTTTCACCAATCACCCTAAAATTATGCCCCCTCGTGATAGCCATTCTGCCCTGGGAAAAAGTCTCTGGCTATCCACTCTATCTATGCCTGTCATCATCCTGTACACCTCTATCAAGTCACCTCTCATCCTTCTTTGCTCCAATGAAAAAAGCCCTAGCTCCCTCAAACTTTCCGCATAAGACCTGCCTTCCAGTCCAGGCAGCATCCTGGTAAATCTCCTCTGCACCCTCTCTAAAACTTCCACATCTTTCCTATAATGAGGCGACCAGAACTGAACACAATATTTCAAATGTGGTCTAATCAGGGTTTTATAGAGCTGCAGCATAACCTCGTGACTCTTAAACTCAAACCCCCTGCCAATGAAAGCCAACACACCATACCCTTCTTAACAACCCTATCAACATGGGTGGCAACTTTGAGGGATCTATGGACGTGGAGCCCAAGATCCGTCTGTTCCTCCACACTGCCAAGAAATCTGCCATTAACCCTGTATTCTGCATTCAAATTCGACCTTCCAAAATGAATCACTTCACACTTTTCTGGGTTGAATTCCATCTGCCATTTCATTGCCCAGCTCTGCATCCTGTCAATGTCCCATCGCAACCTACAACATCCCTCCACACTATCCACAACTCCGCCAACCTCCACGTCTTTGGCAAACTTACTAACCTACCCTTCCACTTCCTCATCCAAGTCATTTATAGTGTTAGTGAGAGAGTGGTAGTATCATTCAAAGAATTTATAAGTAAAAGATCAAACGGTCTCATCACTGATGAGGATACATTAAACAAAGCTATGATGCTGTTAAATCTTTAACCAGTTGAAGGTTTTAATTGATTAATATGTATATGTAAATCCCTGAATTCCTTTCAAGTCACTGCCCTGAAAGAACTAAAGGTTTTATCAGTGTAAAGAAGCGGTGACATTTTAGGTCAGACAATGCATGTTAGGTGTGAGACCTTGTTTAGAATCTGTTTGTGTTTTGATTTGGAGTCAGGCTGGTTTAATTTCTAAAATAGGCATTTATAAAACACCATATCGACTGACTGTCTATAATTTGTGTGCTTTTTGAACAAAATAAAATGTATCTGCAAGTACAAATTCACCCCATAGATTTACGTGTGCGTGTGTGTGAAGGGGAGAGATAGAGGGGAGGCTGTGAAACAGTTGCAGCCTGCTCACCACTGACTGTTTAAACAATTAAGCGCCTTTAAGGGGACAGGTGCCACCAAGGCTCAGTGGGGTAAGATTACCATGTAAGGTCTTTCTGTCCAGAGTATAATTGGGGTCTGTTCACTTATTGGACCCTCCCGATACCACAGATACATGTAAGTAAACCTGGTAGTTTATTCAGAATAAATCAGAAATGCCTTTGGATTAGTTGTAACTATCGAGAAAGTCAAACCCCAATGTTTGTTTTCTTCTCAGTACACAAAAATGTATAGATCTAAACTGCTTTAGTAACTGTGCATATACTAAAGATGTATTTTTTATGAATAAAATATATTTTTCCAAAAATAACGTTAACATAAGGGAATGTCTCAAGGCGTTTCACAGCAGCAGTGCAACACAAAGTGTCATACCGAACCACAGAAGGAGATATTAGGTTAGATGATCAAACGTTGGTCAGAAAGGAGGTTTTATTTTAGGAGTGACTTGAAGGAGGTGGAGAAGTGCAAGCTCCAGACTTTGGGGCACTTGAGGGCATAACTGCCATTTTGTACTGTACATCAGGCCTGGGCCTCCTTTGAATATGTGCTCCACAAACTTAATCTAGGGACAGTTTTGGCTGGTGTAGCCACCTGCACTCGCCAGTTGTGAACCATTAGATTTAGATCACCTCGTCCCTTCCAGACTGCTTTTCATTCAATTCAGCCCTGATCCATCTGTGCCCCATGCTTTATCATCCCCTTCAACCTCTCCTTTGACATGTTGATCCAAGTGCCTCGTGCCACTGTTGAAAGAGCAGTCCCTGCTGAGCAAATTGGACCTTTACTCTCTGGAGTTTAGAAGAATCAGAGCAATCTAATTTAAATATACAAGACTCTGAAGGAGCCTCACAAAGTTAACATGCTGAAAAATTGTAACCACTGGCTGGGGGTATTTGGAGCATAGTCTCAGGATAGGAGGATGATTACATCGAATGAACATACATATAAACAAACAATCAGGAATAGACTATTTGGTACCTCAAGCCTGCTCTGCCATTCAACAAGATCAAGACTGATCTAATTGTGGCCTCAACCTGCTTTCCTGACTTACTCCTATATCATTCAACTCCCTTGTTTAGTCAAGAATCTATCTACTCTGTCTTAAAAACATTTGATGACTGCTTTCTGGTGAAGAGAGTTCCACAGTCTCATAATCTCAGAGAAAGAAATTCTCCTCATCTCATTTGTAAATGGAAGACCCCTTATTTTTAACCTTGTTTTCCTCTTGTTGTAGTCTTTTCTACACGGGAAACATCAGAGAAGAGTCAGCATCGAAATATGAGTGAAGGACTGAATACAAGCCCAGAACACAGTAGGGATGAATGACAAGGTAAGAAAGATAAGACATCAATGTGTTCAAATTGATTCAAGAGAATGTATCAGCACAAAACAAACTCAAAGTGTTCATTTGTTAATTTTCTTATTGTATTTCATAAATTAGAAGCCATACGATAGAATTCCGAAGGAGTACTACACTGTCTTTCAGATGAGACCGAAACCAAGACCCTATCTGCCTTCTCAGGTGGCAATATTTCAAAGAAGAGCAGGAGAGCTATCTCCTTGTGCCCTGGCAAAGACGTATCCCTAGCCAACATAACACAAAAATATTGTCTTGTCATTATTTCTTTATAATAATTACTCTGAACTGGGGAACCAGTCTAGGAATAAGAGACAGACTATTTAGGACTGAGATGATAAGGTATTTCTTCATTCAGGAGTTGATGATTGTTTGGAATTCTTTGCCCGGAGGATTGTGGAGGCTCAGTTGTTATGTAGATTTCTATATAAAAACACCAGGGGGACACAGGAACAGTGCAGAAAAATGGTAAGATCAGCCATGATCTCATTGAATGCCAAAGTGGGCTCAAAGGGCTGAAAAGTCCACTCCAACTCCTACTGTTTTTTCATTCTTATGTTTGTGGGTGCTTGCTCTATCCAAACCGACATTACAATTGTGAGAATGTTTCAAAAGTGCATCTTTGGCCATAAAATGCTTTGAGACATCTGGTAGTCCTGAATGTGCTCCATAAAATGCTACAAAAACAAAGTTGCTGGAAAAGCTCAGCAGGTCTGGTGAGCTTTTCCAGCAGAGCTTTTCCAGCAATTTTGTTTTTGTTCCTGATTTACAGCATCCACAGTTCTTTTGGTTCCATAAAATGCTAGTCTTTTTAAAATAATTTTTGTCAGAATAATGCCTGACAAACAACAGGAGTGAAATTGTAATTGACCCTGGGGAGGCATGAGGTACAATATTATTTATTTATTGACTTTTAGTTAGTTTCTCGATCGAATTGTTCCATCTGTTGTTATCTGGTGCCCTGTTCATGACAACTTGGAAAATCAATGGAACAAAGTCATTTCTACATCTCAATGTAACCAGGAAACATATGGTTGGTGGACTTTGGTGACTCTGATAGATACAAGTGGAAACATATTTTGTTTGTAATTTCAGCAGTAGATCGACGTACCAAGTGATTAAATGTGGTGCACGTGTCACATATAATGTATGCGTTCTTTGTTTACATAGCACATTCAATTCCAATTGTGAATTCTAGACATTGACTCTGGTAACAAACTACACCATACAAATCCAAAAATTCCATGCACTTCAGCTCAAAGATTCTCTTCAACTCTAACAAAGGACATCTCTGACTTAAAACACAGATTAAGGATGCAGACTAATGTACTACGTAGGCCAGAAGGTTCTATTTTGGTGTCCCAATCTGAGTTAGCTTGTTCCAACATTACAAGAAATCGTGGTTCCTATGCACCAGGAACAGAAAGAGAACATTGTTGTGGCTTCCTGATCTTGATCGCTGTTGAGTGGTTAGATTTGATTTGATTTATTGTTGTCACATGTACCTAAGTACAGTGAAAAGTTTTGTTTTGCATGCAGTACAGGCAGATCATAACATACAAGGACATACAGATTGTAGGGTGTTTAGACAGAGTGAGGCATACAAGGTTATAGCTGCACAGGAGATGCACAAAAGCAAGGTCAACATTAGATTTGAAATTAGAGAGGTTCATTCAGCAGTCTAATAA